GAGAGAGAGAGAGAGGGGGGGAGTGTCCCATAGGGTGTCAGCGTCACACTCGCCTAAACTTTTCCCGTTTTCATTTTTAAAAGATGTTGGGACCTTTATGGTATTTATCTTAAACTGAGGTCAATTTTGTCCTTTGTTTTTAAAAATTTGAAAGCGTCGTCTTCTTAAACGAGTGGTTTTGAATAGGCGCGCGGCTAACAGCCTGTTGAAGTCTTCCATTTGAAAATTAGCGACTACTGCCGTACGGCGTGCACATATTCTATTTCTTCTTTTCTTGTTTATTTATTTTTTTATTTTTATTTTTGTCATAATAACACCTTGAATAGGGCTTGCAATGGGCTCGGCAGCCCATCCAATCGGTCCAGTACTAAATAAAGCAGGGACTTGGCCACAAACTTTAGCCCCAGGAGTGGCTCAACCCTGTGTAGCCAACGAACAAAGCCCCAATGAGTTTAGTCATTAGCACAATGGCTTTTGCGCTAGCCGTTGCTTCTTACTTTCAAGATATAGTTTGCTGAGCACATTAGTTGTGAAGAAAACATAGTGTATGCTAGCGCACGTAGACGCGAAGACAAACAAGAAATTGGATGTGCTATGCCAGTGCTGGCCCGGTTTGGTTTAGCCAAGCTCTTTTTTTTTGTTCTTGTTTTTTCTTTTTCTGTTTTTTCATTTGTTGTTGGCCTATCTAGATCAGCCCTAATGGTGCCAAAACTAAGCCTAACCAGGCGTATTTCAACAAGCGCTAGGTCAGGGCCAGGGCTGACCTAGTCCATAAACAAGCAATAGAAGAAAGTGAAATATCATAGATAGCATATACTATTTTCCCCAACCAAAGCCTACTGGTCTTCAAGTGGTTCTCTCTCATGGTCAAATGATCTTCTTAGACCATCGCTTCTAGAAAACGACTGTTATGATGAAAATAACGGCTCTTAGAAAAAGTAACCCTCCTGCCTTATTATATAAGGTAACATGAAGGACTGCAATAACGGATTAAAGCCCTTTCTGTTATGGACCTGGTTTTTATGCGGCCTAAGCTCGCATATGTAGAAATGCGGGCCTATTAATAAATCTATTTTTTAGATGAATTTTTGACTTGATTTTTAAAGACATGTAATCTCCAAAATGAGATCATGAATATGAATAAATAAATAAATTTTAAAAACTAAAAATAATAATTCTAATAAAAAAATATTTTGACCATTAATTTCTATTGTTTTTACATGAAACACCTACTTGCATCCATCTTTAAAATGGATAATTTACACTTTTTGGACCTTATACATAGTCATATAGTCCAGCTCGCATGAAACAATTTTCTGTTGTTCCATCTTTTTGTATTTTGGTTAAACATCATTTTGCCATTATAACACCCATTAAAGTTAGTAAACTGTAACAAAGTGGCACTGTTGTGTTATGGACTTCTAAAAAAATTTGGTTGAGATAAACCTACACTTTGTGGAACCATAGATATAGTCCATTTCCACCGTCTAACAAAAGTGTTGGAGCATTGGATTATCAGTCATGTGTGGGCCATGACAATACCACTAAGCCAATCCCCACAAAATTCAAAATTCGGGCTTTCTATATAAAGTTTATACAAATACGAGGTTTACACCTTAAAATATAGAATTAAGTTGCACCTCTAAAATATTCGAAGAAACTTAGTTTTGATGTTAGAAATGTTAACAATGGGAATGAAGGGTGGGATGTTCCGTTGAAACTTTAACTAGCCAACCCCAAATCCCATTCCCTTGGCATTAAGTCTTCTTAGTAAAATCAAGTTACAACGCATAGAATGAGCATAAAGAGTGTCAGAAAGTAACAATAAATTCTCATTTGAGATGACTAATTTATAAGTGTCAATGTCCAATATATCAAACTTATAATCATTGCCCATAGAGATGACATGTCCCTCGGCTTTAAGCTGCTTAAACTTCACAAAGCCCTCTCTAGATCTGGATATGTGCTTAGTGCGGCCTATAGGAGTTTGTTTTGGGTAATTCAGTGGGGATGACGAGTCCCTACCCATTTTTTTTTAAATGAGTTAGAATAGAATGGGGTTGGAGTCATGGTGTTAACACCACCTGTGCCCTAGTTGAAATCCAAATTGTAACTCCTATCTTTATTCATAGTGGTAGCACCACCTGTGCCCCAGTTGAAATCCAAATTGTAACTCCTATCTTTATTCATGGTGTTAGCACCACCTGTGTCCCAGTTGAAATCCAAATTGCAACTCCTATCTTTATTCACCTTTAAATCCATTGGGAGCTTTGACAAGTTGTTGTTAAAACTTCCATCACAATTAATTAGGCCACAAAATACCTAATAATATTCACATCTATATATGATTTTTCCATGTCAATACCATGACATTATTAACTAATATATTTATGCCCCTAATAATTAGATATCTTGAATAAATTGGCCTAAAATGCCACCATTTCCAACAAAAAATAAATCAAATTGATCATCTCGACATCAAGATGTATATATAGGGATTGTATAGTATGAGGCCATTTATCTTTGGTACAAGGAGGTTACAATTGGTACTAGTCATTAGATGTCAAATTGGATGGCTTAGGTGTATCACAAAGTTCAAGATTTTTTTTTTTTGAACTTTGGGTCTAGTTAATGACACTTTTGTAACCAACCAATTTGATATTTGATGGACTTGAATGATTGTGACCTCTTTGTATCAAAAGTAAATTGTCTCTTTGTATACTTTTCCATGGAGAAAAAAATAAATTTAAGTTCAAAATATTATATATCTTACAACAATTTAGCAATGTTGGGGCGTAACGCCAAATCACCACCCCCGTGGTATTTCCCTTTTTTTATA